CCGGGCCCACGGCACAAGGTGCTCGGGCGGCCCCGGCCCTAGGGCACACGCCAGCGCCGGGTGCAAGGGCATCCCAGTCCCCTGACGTGCCCCCGGACGCGCGGCCCCACCCCCCGAGCGCCCGGCGCGTGAGTGGCCCCACCCCCGGGTGCCCAGGAGCCTCTAAAGGTTGGGGACCACTGCTATAGACTATCTGCATGTCCCTCCCGTCCCCCAACCAGGCTAGCTCAGTCCTGGCTCACGCTGGATCCGGTATTTACCCATGCTGTCGCTCTGCATTTAAAGTGTATTAGAAGTCGGGTGGGCAGGCAACCTGCTTCAGTTCTGGTCCGCGATGGATCCGGGAGCTCAGACCCCCACAGGGGCTACTGCCACCCCACACTGCTGTCCTTTTATCAGAGCAGGAGCACAGAGTGACAAGCAGCTGGCCCACAAGAGGAGCTGGTTTTTAAACTGGCTCCCTTTGCAGACTAGTTCCCATTTGGCACCCTGCGGTGCACCCAGTCCTTCCCCCAGGGACTACAGAATAGTCAACTAACCAATAAGAATTCATGAGGTTACTCGACTATTCAATTAACCCAGTGGTCCCCAACCTGTAGATCGGGATCTACTGGTAGATCTTGGAGCCTCTAACAGGTGATCCTGACTAATTTGGCCAACAGGCTATCAAGAGCCTGCACTTCAGCTGCCCCTCCCCCAATTGCTGCACACCTCCTGTTCTTTGCCTATGAGCTGCCCTGCCCCCTGCGAGGCTCCTGCTTTCTGTGCAGGGCAGGGGAGGGATAGGAGGGCTCTGATGTCAGGGTGCCCCTTCTTCCACCCTGTATCCTTTCTCCACAGAGCAGAGAGGGGGCACAACAGGACCTGGGATGGAGTTTGTTGGCTGCTTTAGGGAGTGGTTCAGGGCCAGAGCAGGAGCAAGCCTTAGCCTGCCTTAGCCCTACTGCCCCACCAACCAGGAGGCACCAGCAGTGTCCAGCCGGGGACCACATTCCAAACTCCAGCCCCAGGCATAAACCCCCTCCTTCACTCCAAGCCCTTGTCCTAGCTCCGAGCATCCCTGCATCCAAATGCTGTCCCAGAGCCTTCACCTAGAATCCCTCCTACATCCCAACAGCCTGCCCCAAGAGCAGCTCAGAGCCCCTCTCACACTCCAGACCCCTTAACCCAAGACCAGAGCCTGCACCCCAACCCTCTGTCCCAGCCTGATGAACGTGAGTGAGGATGAGCAAGAGAGGGAGGATGGAGTGAGCGGGGGCGGGGGGAGCTTGGATATGGGGTAGGAAGGAGGCGGGGAAGGGGTATTTATATTTGAGGTAGATCTTTGATTGCACTTAAAATCAAAAAGTGATCTTGTGCTTAAAAAGGCTGGAGATCCCTGAATTAACCAATATTTAACATCCCTATCCCAAACCATTCCTCATACTGTGCTGCTAGAACCAAAGTGACACAGAATTTTTATACGTAAGGAGTGGGGTGCCCCTTTCTCCCTCCCCCGCTCACATCCAGAAGCAGAGCCAAGTTTGCCTGTTAACCTTCAGCAGTGATGTCAGCCATAGTAATGGCTGCCCATGGACAAATGTAGGATTATTACAAATTGTTTTCATGTGCACCTGCCACAGAAATGTGGACTGTACTTACTTGGGGCCCCATGCCCAACCCTCCTTCTCCCCTTTCCCCCCAACTTTAACACTCTCCATGATCAGAATGTCTGGAGAGATCTGTGTTTGCTTCTAGGATAAGAAGAGAAGTGGCCAGTTTTGTTCAGAGACTTGCGTGTTAGTAAAATGCTACAAACTTTATCAGGAAAAGTACAATCATTCTATTGTTAATGGTTATTTTTCCAGACCAGGCACATTTTGCGGCAGACAGACTCCATCAACTAAGGGAAAAAACCTGGGAGGACAAGGAAGGATCTGGTCAAGGATGTGCTGCAGCATTCAAGGCTTCAAACACAGAAAAGGGAGCAAAGAAGAGCTAGGGAGATGCAAGTCAGAATAGAAGTCACTGAGTGCATTTAGAAGACTAAAATGAGATGATGAAGTGTCTTATCAAATGCAGAGTAAACAGAACCAAAGGCCTCCCAGTCTGCACATGCCAAACTTTTTTCACAGCAGCTGTCCCTCTACGCCCATACATTCGCCTCCGTGGCCACACATAAAATTCTTTATCCAGCAAGCAACCCTCCCTCTAAGCTCACACTCATTTTCACAATCAAGTATTTTTCCCCGGCACACTCCACTCCCCATCAAAGCAGCTGTGACTTTGACAGCTAGACATCATTCTGAGACTTTCCAAAAACTGTTTTGCCATCCTTTACTACTGAGCATCCTGATTGAAAGACATCAATAAAGACAGATGTGATACATGTTTCCATGAGTTTATTTTGTGTGACACAAACCACACCAATCGCTCTAGCCCCTGGAAACCTGTAATATCCCTTGGTTTCATGGGAATACCTTGCTCAGGATGAGCAGTGGGATGAGGCAGAGAAGGAATCCCAGCACACAGAAATGTCAGTGCCCATCAGTGTCAAAGTGGTTCCTCAGATCCTCCCTGATATTCATGGCCACCCTATCGTCCCTCTGATAGCACGAGTGTCTGGCTGTTCAAACTGTGTATCCAGACACTATGTTCCATTGTTCCACCCACAGGCAAATGCTTTACCATTTACTCTTCACATAAATTATGTAAGCAACAGCATGCTCCACCACCTTGGGCCGTGGTGTCCAAAATGCTAGCTGCTAGCCACATGCGTTTATTTGGCCAGTTGAGTGTTGCAAGTTGTCTTAAACACTACAGTGGCTACTGCTTCAGAACAGGTTAGACAACACCGACTTTGTGGATATGATCCTCCAAAAGTTCCAGTCTAGGGATGAAAGTGATGAGTCAACTATCTGATAAGCATTAGCGGGGCAGGGGAGGTAGCGGCACAGCAGGAAACAGCACAAGTGGGGACTGAAACAGTCTCCGCTCGCGCTCTGTCTGCTGCAATTCTGCTTTTGAAATGTACAAGAGTCCCAGCCCGGCTCTTGTACATTTCAAAAGCAGAAGCCCCACAGGGAGTGCTGGGGCTGGCCTCAAGCTACCTGCAGGGCTTCCTTTTGAAATGTACAAGAGCCCTAATGGGGGATCCCTAATGGAGGAATGCCTACTGGCCGCAAGCTCCCTGCGTGGCTTCCACTTTTGAATTGTAGCAAGAGCGCAGAAGTACCCTTATAGACTAATCAAATAGTCAATGGAAATCCTATCAACGATTCGATTAGTTAATCTAAACTGAACTTTAGCAAGAACTGTAGCAAAAGCCTGGAGGCACCCTTATAGACTAACTGAATAGTTGATGGAAAGTCCATCGACTATTCAATTAGTTAATTAATCTAAATTTAACATCCCTAGATCAGCCTGCCACAGAGACATCTCCAATGCCCTTTCAATCTGTCAAAGGCACATTCAACAACCATGCGGCATTGGCTTAGCCTGTTGTTGGACAGCAGTAAGGAGTAGTACAAGTGCCCCATGAAAAGCACCTCATTGCAGGAGGAATACCAGCTAATTTGAGTTAGCGCTTTAAATCGGAATCCCGTTTCACTGCCATGTATAGACGCAGGCAGTTACTTCGGGCTAGTCAATTTCTAAAAAGGCGACCAGCTGGGAACATGCAACTCAAGCGCGGGATATTTAAATCCCGGGCTTGATTTGAAATTTCGGTCACCCTCGTAAGCCTCCCTAGATCGATATAGGGGGCTAGTGTAGACGTACCCCTAGACTTTACCGTACTTACACATTATGAAGAGTCTTTTCTGGGAGAGAGACATGTCTTTTGTCTCCCTCAGTATCTAGAGAGCAAAACTGCCTCAGGTACAAGGAAGGAAAAGCCAAAAATTCCAGTCCCTATCTGCATTTCTATTGGCTGACTGATACCTGGCTAGGTACAGTTAACCCTTTCGTTCCCAGGTTGCTGGACATGCCTCATGACCATGATAGCTCCAGACTTCAGACACTCTGACATGTAGCCCAAACTTTGAGGTCAGTCCCACTGAATTTGCATGTGTTCAGGATCTCATAATTTGCTCCTAACCCAATCAAAAGTACTTCATGTAATGAAACAGAAGTACTCATGAATGAGTTGAGCAGAATTTGGTCTATGTTCTGATACACATCTCAAAGGGAAAAGTCACCCCATGTATCTCACAGGAACATAAGCAGTACTAATTAGGAAAAATGTCTAAAGAAATGTTAGTGTTGTGATACAGAACAAAAGATAAGGATGATGATGCATGTTTTCTATACATAAATGGAAATCAACCCCTAGGGAGCAATATCCCCAGACTTTGCCGAACATGCTTAGGGAATCCTCCTCATCATCCTATAATCGTGCAGGTTCTTCCTGATGAAATGTCTGAAAGCATCTCTTAGCTGAGAGATGTCTTCCAAAAATAAGCCAGCAATAGCCATTGTCATCTACTTTTCCTAGAACTTACTGGGAAATAGTTGCCAATGGATGCCAGAAACAGCTTCCTTAGGCTCAGCAGTGTTCTCTGAGACACTTAAAACTGCATGGAACAATGTATTAAAAATATAAATTACATTAGGATGCAATCCTACACTAGTAAACACATGAACTAGATGGCCTATCAAATATTTTCTAACACTATGATTCTGACCAGAGAAATGGACATAGTTGCCACAGAACAGCTGAAAAGGGGACAGGAAGTAGTGTGTAATGCCTGAATATTTATTTAAACAGAGACAAAGGAAATGCCAATACTCAAAATATTGAATTGAATTGTTTAAATCCAATCATTCTGCATCTTCCATGTATAATCTCAAACAAGACCAGATGGTCTACCACATTCTGCCATCCTCTCCTCTTCTATGAGTCCACTCCTCAGTACAGACAGACATACTGAAGTATAAAATGGGAATAATCCATTTGCTCCACAGCCATTCATGAGGACTTTAAAGGAAGCAGTAGGGATGTAACAGTGTAGTTGATTAACCAATTAATCAATAAGTGAAAGCTTATAGGTTATTGCTATATAGGTTATTGCCTCTGATACAAAGGAAGCAGTATGGAGTGGCTGGGGGCTCCTTTGGGAGTGAGGCAAGGGCGCACTGGCTGCTGGTCCCACCCTCAGGCACTACAGAATAGTCTAGTAACTGATAAGAATTCATGAGGTTAATCAATTATTCAATTAACCTATATTTAACATCCCTAGGAAGCAGTAATAAAATGCTGAGGGCCTTGAGAACTTATTAACATGATACTCCCCCCTTCCCAGCCAATTCCAGCACCAGTGCAGCAAGACTATTTTTCTATAGGTAGGCTTTTCAATTTGAATTTTCTGTCAAATAGAACAGCTTCCCGTCCAGTCAAAATCTATAGTATTCTGGAGTCTACATGGAGCAGGAAGCTGTGTATATTTATTTAAATAACACCTATCTTTATGAGATATCTTCATAATGATGATGTATTTATGTTTAACTCTAAGAATTTTCTTTGTTAAAGAACAGGCACACAAACTTAACAGTTACGTTAGAGAGGAAACTTTCCTACACAGTTGTAAAAACTAAACTAATTTAATTTTTATGAAAAGATTATTTATAACGAACATATAGAAAAAGAGAAAAAGATAATAAAATACGAGGGATCCCCTGTTAGATTACTCCCATTTTACATCAAAGTGACTTATCAAAAGCTATGCATTTAAAGACATAGACCCTATTATAAATGACTTTTGTTAGCTAGAACAATCCATTCCAGTAACTCAGAGTGACAGAGTTTTTGCTAAATTAAAATGATACACACATAGGAAGTATTGATTGAGATGATTTTCAATACCGTAACAAACAAAACAATAGTGGAAAAATAGGTTAATCGCCATCATGGCAAATTTTAACTACATATGATTAGGGCTGATGTACTAGATGAATGATTTGATTAGGCTATGTTTTCAGACATGCTGATAAGATAATTTAAAGGATAAAAACAGGCCTCTTTTGCAACTTCTCAGCCAGGAACACCCACAGCTATTAGTAATTATGTTAACCATTACATATACTGTATCATTAAACCACAAACAAGAAAAATGTGTTGTATGTTTCCATATAAAATGTACTGGATATTTTATATCCGCTATCACAACAAAGGCATTGCCTTTGACCATTTCTAGAAGAACTATTAACAAAGCAACAATTTTTCTCATGAATAAGTGCTTTTATTCAATATGATTTCTGTATCAGCTGAGATAATGTGATTTTTTTCCATCAGAAGGCTTTAGAAATTCTACTGTGAATCAGCTTTATAAGGAGCAAGAAAAAAATTTAAAAAAGGATGGCCAGAGACAACTGACTACTCAGAGACTGAACTGACCAAGAATCAGAACACAACGCCTTTTTCTACCACAACAGCTCTTCTGTGCCACCTCTGATTTAGTGAACAGTTGCCCAATTATTTAATGTTACAGCCTAAGGCAGCATTTGAAAGACACACAAAATACCTTAGTTTCAATTGTTAAAGCAATCAAGTTCTTGTTTGTGTAAGGTCTTCCAGAACTGTGGTCTATCCTGGCTATAAAAAAGGTGAAGATTAAAATTTCACAGTTACACTTTAACAGTACTTGTGTTTTTTATTCCTCTTTTTCTAAATCAAATAGCCAAAACTTCTTAATGACACAGCATCATATGATTCCATGCCTTCCAAAACAGGCAATGCATTTTCTACAGCTGACTCTTCTAGTTACAGTATTCAACAGCTGGGGCATAGATAATTTGGCACCCTGATAATGTCCCAAATGAATGCACTCTTATTTCCTAAAAGCAAGAAAAATATTTCAATTAAAATAAGTAATTAAGACTCTTCACCATGAAAAAGCAAAAGGAAGTTACTAGAATGCATACTCACTTAAAAAAATAAATCAGTTTCTTTCAAAATTTGGTGAAATGACACTCCCTGTTTAATGCATAATATTGCAGCAATTCTTTTCTGATTAGATCAGCTCCCATAGCAAGTCATCAGGATAACAATCACTGTAGTGAAGTCATACTACTGGGACTCTGATGATAAATCATAACCGGCTTGAAAACACATTATTTTTCAATGTATTTTCCAGTTTCCCAATGTTTCATTATTAAAACAAACTAAAATCTTTACCCTTTTCCCCAGTGATTGTATGTAATAAACTACCAAGTACTGTATATTGATGAGTTAAATAAATGAAGAGCCACCCACAAAATGAAAACAAAGAAATGGAAAACTTTTAAATTTAAACATTTTAAAGAGTTTGACATCTTTTAACATCCAATATAAATGCACCCTTTCTCCCTCTTCACAGATAAGATAACAAACGTCAACAATTCTAGAATATACTAAAAACAAATATGTTAACTAGCCCTAGGAGTCTACTGTATCAGCATCCACTAATCCAGTGATAGAGATGCAACAGTGTCAGCCTGGTGTAGCTGAAACAAAAGACAGAACTATGTAGCACTTTAAAGACTAACAAGATAGTTTATTAGGTGATGAGCTTTCGTGGGCCAGACCCACTTCCTCAGATCAATATGTGGAAGAAAATCGACACAACCATATATACCAAAGTGATACAATCAAAAAAATGAACGCATGTGAAATTGACAATTCAAATTTTAGAACAGGGTGGGGGAGAAGGTTAGTTTCTGTGAGGTAATGACATAGGGGTGATAATAGGGGAAGTTTCTGTGAGGTAATGACATTAGGCGTGATAACTGGTTCTCATCCAGGAGTCTAGAGCCCCTGTGAGGGAGGGACCCAAGCAGGATTGGGGGCCTCCAATATAAGCCAGAGAGCAAAGCTGTCATTGCAGCTTGCAGGAGCCCAGGACAGAAAGCTGAACCCAAGCAAATTTGCTTTTTGGAGCCCCAGGTAGTTGCCCTGCTTGTAACTTCCTCTCACCAGTAATGTCTTACTGGATGTGTAGAAAAACTGTTGTTGTGGCACAGGTGGGTCGTGGAGTTTTTACAGCGTGTTGTGGGGGAGAGGGGCTCAGAAAGAAAAAGGTTGAGTTACCCCTGCACAAATCCTCCCACAGGTAAGGACCAAATCTTGTAGGCCTTACTTAGGCAAAACTCACAGTAAAATCAGGGGACTTATGACTGTACAATCAAGCCCTAAAATCACTGAATACTAGAACCGGAAGGGACTTCAAGATGTCATCATCTTGTCCCGTGACTTAAGGATAAGATATCCATTATGAATTTTCCTGAGTTTATCAAGTGACCATGTATCTAAATTGAAAGCTATACATCTGTCTCTAGGAGCAAATTTGCTTTTTTATCAAATTCAAATTTAAATCTGTTCATCTAAATTTTAAATCACATCAGCGAAAAATAAATATTAATTTTAGGGTTTTCAATACTTTTGATTTAGTAATTTGAACATAGCCTACTTACTTTAAAATGAACATTTGGAAAAAAATAGCCTGAAATATGTATGAATCACTTTAGATGATGAAAAAATATAATAGACCAAGAATTTCCTTTCTTAAAAAGATCTAATATACACAATAATTATTTCTCCTTTGAAATGTTCTGATGCATTTTAGTACAGAGACAGTACATCTAGGGAACATGTGCATTGACACAATAGACTATAATAATACATGATTTAGAATTGAACAGGTATAAAGTACTCTCAGCCCCGATGAATCACGTTTGAAAATAATTTCATTTTTAGGATAGAATAAAATTAACTATGACATCTTCATATAAAACTGATTTAACTATGCCACTCCCATTAAAGTCAGTGGTAATTTGGTAGCTTAAACCACTCTTATAACTTTTTCTAAATTTATTGTTGGGTATCTTAAAACCACAAAATCAAAACTGAATATAAAATATATAAATAAAATAAAAAATTATATAAAACTGAAACCATCTAGCAAGCCTTGTCCCCATATGTTGCAAAAGGATTCCAAACAGCAAACACCAAATACATTGCAATGTGCACCTCGGAACTATTTTCAGAATGAAGATTCATTCTAATTCCATCTCTTATTAATTAAGATTAGATCTTAAACATTACATTGATCTCGTTTTTAAGGTTTAATATTAAAAATGCACTGAAATAGAAAATAATGATGTGTCCTATGTACTTTTTCTGTACAATCAAAAATAAGGAAATAATACAATTAACATTTCTAATAGAATAAACTGAATATGTTATGAACATTAGAAAGGTTCTTCAAGTACTAAATGAAAATGCTTCACAATGTTGCATAAAGCTGTCATTCTGGACATTACAGAAAAGAACAACATATATTAGAACGTTAAGATCAAATGGATATTTAAAATGGTGGTTTTTTGTTTAAAGCAGTATTGGCAATAAAGATAACGCATATTTCACTGGATTCATTAGGACCACAGAATACTGTTTTATTTACTGAAAAACAGAGAAAACGGTTCTCATCCCAGACAAACATCAGACAGTAGAGTAATAATCTCATTGAAATGTCACTGATGGCATCACACGCAGCAAAAGGACAGTGTCACTTAAAGCTCTTTAGTGAAAGAAAGCAACAGACAGCTCCGTAAGAAATGACGCTCTCCTGGAGACAGTGGATCTGGTCTTAAGGGCGTTTTAGTACAGTATCTTCGACTGCACTCTTGTTGGTAGTGGACTAGAACAGCAGATATCCAGAAGACCTGATCCTGATTATGGCTGCTCCTGTCCCTTGTTTACTTGTAACCACCAGTGCTATTTAAAGTAAGCCCTACACTTAGCATGTACCTAATAAACCCACGTATGCCTCATGCTGCAGCGCTAATTTAGCGTACCTTTGTATCTCTCCAAGACATCTTCATAAGCCTGTAGGTATTCCTGTTCTTCGGCATAGTAATAAGCACCAGGGGAGAGGTAACCAGCCATGGCTGGAGGGTAACACTGACCAGTTCACTCCAAGGCTGCAGACAGCACGAAGCCTTGGGAACTGCAAAAAAGGCTGGAGGGAGGAGGGAGGGGTGCTATGAAAGCTGTCCGAGGAAACGCCCATTCCCCCCTCCCGAGCGGTGTGTGAGCATGTGTGTGGCTCCAATAGCAAGGGCTTCCTCTCGGATTTCATTAACAGCAAATCTCTGCGCTCGGCTAACGGCCTGAGAGCAGGAAGGCAGCCAGGGCTGCAGCAGCTCCAGGACACCATGGGCGCCACGGCCTGGCCATGGAGGTGACCTCCAGCTGCTCCCTCTCCCAGTCTTCATGGAAACATTTCTTCCCTCCTGACAGATACATCACTCCTAGGCGATCATTTAGGGCTCGCTTGTGCTGCAGGCCCCACTTGTGCAAATGCATTCAGGGCTTTTGCTGAATAAGAACTGCAGCAGCAGCCTTTTCTGTACGTCATCCCCTCCCCTAGCGTCTGGCTCCCTTTCTGGCTCTGGTTTAATAGTTCTGCGGGGCGGGCCTGGCCCGGCTTCTCTCTCCAAAGCTCAGTAGGATTCTGCTGAGGACTCGCCAGCTGCCTGGGCTTCCCCCCGCTCTTCAGCCTTCTCTGGCGAGGCCGCTTTCATTGTCTTGATTTCCACAAAATTTTCTGTACGTCATCCCCTCCCCTAGCGTCTGGCTCCCTTTCTGGCTCTGGTTTAATAGTTCTGCGGGGCGGGCCTGGCCCGGCTTCTCTCTCCAAAGCTCAGTAGGATTCTGCTGAGGACTCGCCAGCTGCCTGGGCTTCCCCCCGCTCTTCAGCCTTCTCTGGCGAGGCCGCTTTCATTGTCTTGATTTCCACAAAAAAACTATCGGGAAGCCGCCCTACTCCCCCCCACCCCCACCCCCGTGGAGTTGCCCGGCCGCGGGATGGCGCGCCAGGGCCGGGGGCTCGCGCTGCTGCAGGTGTCCCCGTCGCTCATGCACAGACACAGCGCGCCGCATGTCAGTGCCCCGCTGCTAACTGCGCCTGTGCCTCCTCCCGCCTCGGGCCCGCGATCCGCGCGCCTGTTGCTGTGCTGGGCCCTGCTGCCCTGCACACTGCAAAGCCCTCCAGGGGCCCTGTGCCGCTCCGCACCCCGGGCGCCCTGACCCCGCCGTGCAACACACGTGTCTTCCCCAGCTCCCCACTCCCCTCCCCCGAGCGCAAGACCCACGCTCCAGGCTGCTCCCTCCCCACAAGCTTTCCACAAATGTGCAGCTGCGTGGTGTCCAAACCAGCCCTGCCTCGCCATCAACGCTTTAATCCCTCTCCTTGCATTTCCCCTCCTCCGGCCGAGCAAAGCTACCAGTGCGTCCGGAGGGGGCGGGGGGAGACGACAAGCCGCCGTGGTAGGACGCAGGCGATTGTGTTTCCGAGCACTCTGATGAGACCCACGCGGGCGGATGTTTGTATCTGCCCGATTCCCAGGCACCAGCGGTAGCCAGAAGAGATCTTACAAAGAGGCTCGTCCCTAAGAAACGGGGGCTGGAGTAACCCTGGTTCTGCATTGTGCCGGTGGCTAAGGGCGGTGATTACTAAGCGGGATGAGGAGGGAGGAAAGAGCTTTGCTACGCCATCCCCACAGAGGGGCCGAGCCATTGCATCCCCATAATCGTCCCATTAGGTGAAAATGTCTTTGAAATAAGCCCCGAAGAGGGAAGGGATGATACACCAAACAACGAACCAGAATTAATTTACACGCTGCGTTGTCAACTTCCAGCAAAGGCATCTCTTCTATTTCAGTGCCATCCGTTGCCAGTGTAAAGTGGCCATCCACATACCAGAAAACATTAGTGCCTCTCCTACATTATTCCATCGAGTGCCTCTCCTATATTATTCCTAAGCAGCACGGCCCCAATATGAGTACACGGACAAAGAGCTGTTCTACACATTTACACTGTTGTCACAACATACACCGTCTAAAAGAAGGATAGACACCAACTGGATGATCGCAGCCTGCCCATGCATTTAAGGCAGCCTCTCTGCCATTAAGGCACAAAAGACAATAAAGAGTGCTCTGTCTGCCTTTGTGTACACCGACCAAGCAGACATAATATGAAATCACCAGGGTTATTGCGAATGAGCTACTCACGGCTAATGCGTTTTCGCATGAAAGTTTAATGGGCGCACCTGCACATATTTCATCTTTTCCCACTTTCCCACAAGCATTAATTCACCCAACCGGAAAACACGGCCAAATAGCTTAGTCATCACTCCACGAACCTACAGGATTTTGAAAGGCTTTGTTCACAAAGCCAATGAACGAGCCCCCACCCCCGACATAAATCTTTGCCACGATCTCTCATGCAAGCCCCTGATATGTGGGCACATGCAAGAATGGTGAGTCTCTCGTCTGGCTGCCTGGAGCCTGGTCTTACCGGCTATCCTAAGCACCGCTCTCTCGGCTGGATCCAGCACGGAGCCGCCTTGAATTTTCCGCTTGGATCGCTCATGTTTCGGCAAGTTCCAGGGCAGTGTGTCCCCCGGTGCCGGTGACAAGGAGCCAGATTTTTGGCTGAAATCATCTTCATCCGAGAAATCCGCAGAGGAAGACATGGAGCATCGGTAGGAGGCGTTTCCAGAGCTCTGCAGAATGAGAGATACACATTGACTGCATGGATATACAGTATATAGTGTGATCTCCATACAGGCAACCCAGTCCGCCTAGACTGTTTTACAAACACCCCACAGAAAAATAAAAACACCGAAAGGATAGGTCGCTCACCATCGTTGTGTGTGTGTGTGCGCGCGCGCACGTAACTCCACAGATGGTACCCCCAAAATACCCTGATTTAGTGACAGTGCATTTAGGAGGATTTTTATGCAGAAGCGTGGCCTGCGGTCAGGCAACCACCTCACAAATGATCCTCGGACTTGCCCAACAATAAACCCAGCAACAACAAAAGCCTTCCCGGTTAGAAACTGATAGCATTTGGCTCCCCCGCCAGGCTAAGGAAAAGATTTACCATCATCAGGCTGCTGGTTAAATCATTAATGTAACTCTATCTTTAAAAAAAAACCCACTCAACAAACGCAGGATGCTGAGCCTTTGTTACTGCAAGTAGATTTTCGAAGCCACACCCTGGTAAGTCTCCTGCACTTGCATTCTTGCGGGACTCCCTTTTCTAGCCCTTGTTGTTTCTTCAGAGCAGCAAATTGCCAGAGAAAGTGCATTGATGAGAAGGGAGGGAGGGAGTGTGTTTCTCAGAACAGCCTCTTCTCAAAGTCATTGGGTGTACAAAGGGCGGTTTTTAGCAGTTTTCTGTCGAGACAGCTTCAGTAAACAAACGTTTGATCTCGGTTTATATCCTCTATGCCTGTTTATATTTTCTAATAAACAGAGCAGACAGCCGTTGCCCGGAACCAGATCACTGCCAAGAATAAAAATGATGGAGCGAAGGGACATGAACCGGCGGTGCCATTTCTGACTTCCCTATCGTACTAGAGGAAGTGGGAAAATGAGATGCTTAAATGGTAGCGCTTTAGTTTACATTTGGTGGTTTGGTAAACAAACCTTCAGGATCGACCCTCAAACACAGCTGCTGGAGAGCTGATGCAGGATCGTTTGCTTTCCTATTTGTATCTCTGCATTTCCTACTTGAGGATATTTAGGAATACGCCAGTGCACCTGATGGAAAACAATGCCTATACTTGCTGATTCAAGATGGTGATATACAATAGTTCTCTCGCTGTGTAATCTGGCTCCAACCCAGGGTATGATTTGCATTAATTTTTTCATGGCACCTTATTCTCAACTTGGTTTATTCTACATTAGTATTATTTGCTTTCTAGAATCCATCTTCCACCCTTCTAGACTCCACAGTTTGTTGGATCAGGAAACTGAATATAGAAATGCCTGCTGATATTTTAGATTTGTTTTATGGCTGCCTGTCTTCTCTAGAAGGGCTTGAGCTGTGTCCTTATTGAATGAAACATAATGCATTGTGGCTCCCTGATTACTGATATTTTCTCTTTCACTTTCTGAAATGTTTTTCTATGCATTTTCACTGTAATCATGCATTGGTTGACTAGATAGATTATTATTTAGATTGGCATTTTAGGCATTTTAAAAAAATGAAAACTGCACAACCCAGAATCATAACTGATTAAATAATGCAATGAAAATGTTATGCTGCAGCCTAAATTGCAATCATTCACAGTTAAATAAAACTAAATAAAAGGGGGAACAAACATTAGTGGGTGATCATAATCAAGTATACTCTGGCCCTCTTTTCTATCATTGTACTGAGGTCTGTGTTAAAGTACAGAACAAATATTGCATACAGAACAATAGTTTTGAACTGTTCTCCCAATACAGTGTTGAGAGTTAGAAAGCTTCAGAGATCTAATCAGAGGTATGATTCTGCAATTTGTGTTGGTGCAGGTAAAATCCTGTAGTACGCATAATAAATACAATTCTTCCCACAAAACTACAAAATAGAGGTACAGTATCCACCCCTACAGGAGTAAGGAGGTTTAATCAGTAGTTACTAGAAGGCATGAGTTCAGTGTCTCCTGGCCTGATCTTAGCTTTAAAGGCTTTTCTGCAACTAACATGGAAAGAACCCCTCAAGGAGCCATTCCATGGTTCCTAGCAATGTCCAACCTGCTTGGTATCCACTTATCCCATTTGCTCCTACACACAGTGGACCTGCCTCCATTTCAGCTTCCTCACATAGCTATGCAGATGGCTAGAGGGTTTACACTGAAATCACCAGTTTTAATCATGATTTAAATGAGGGGTAGGGAACCTTTTTTGGGTCAAGGGCCACTGACTCACAGAAAAGTCAGTCAGGGGCCACACACATGTGAGAAACAAAAATCAAACAAGCAAGCAAAAAACCCTCACTGCCGTGGCCCCAACTGAAAAAAAAGACATTCCCTACATTCTACTCCCACATCTAAGTGGACCCAGCCTAGCAGATATTGTGTACTCCAGCTTTGAGGGAAGGACCTGGAGCGCCAGTGCAGGCTCCCCAATGCTGGGGGGAGGGGAGAGGGCATGAGCCTTGGAGGCTGGATCCAGGCAAGCCACCTCTGAGTTAAAACATAAAGTAAGAAATCTTTGATTTGAATCATACTCTACATCTGCATCTGATGAAGTAGGTCTTTGCCCACAAAAGCTATTATGCTCCAATAAATCTGTTAGTCTATAAGGTGCCCACAGGACTTCTAGTTGTTTATGCATATTCTACATTGTTTGTTTTTTTTTAAAGAAGGTTGGCTCTCATTCGTTGCTAACCACTGAAACACATTGATTTGTAACTAAATATAACATTTACACTAAATTTTTGATACTTCTTGTTTTTTACATAACCAGGAGGATAAACACATATTTAAGGAATCATACCTTCATTTACATTTATTCAGATTCTTAATATTTATCTTTTATGTTACAAAATTATGAATAATTGCGGCTACAGTGAGTGGGGAGATCAGCCTCTGCTGCAGCCATATGCCAGGCCCCCCAGTAACTCCCTGGCTTGCGTTGCTCACGGGAAGGGGCAGGTGCAGGAAGGATCATAGTGGGATCAGAGAAGGGGCAGAGCTGGGGAAGAGATGGAGAAGGGATG